TGTTTTTGTTCTTCAATCTAGTTGTGGAGGACGTCGCTTCACTGGCCCATGTTAGTATGATCATTGTGCTCTTCCCGGATGAGGCAATCGGTCGCCGGTCATTGGTCGGCCGCTCACAGAGGCTCCCAGCAGCTCACACCGGCTGCCGGCTGCTCACGCTGGCTGCCAGCCACTCACATAGCTCACGGCAGCCCACTGCAGCCCTGCTGCAGCCTACACCATCGCCGACAACTCACGGCAGCCCAGCTCCAGGTTGAGCTGTTGTTCACCATCTTAGCTGTAGAGGGCACAGCGTCACTGGCCCTCATGTGGGATCCGAACCGGGGCCCTGCTGCTCAGAGCTGGCGCTCTCAAGCAAGCTCTTAACCAACTGAGCCACTCGGCTGGCCCCCTGTACTGTTTTTGATCTGTGGTTAGGAGTCTGTGGATGTGGAGGGCTGATTGTATGTATTGATCTACACCATTTTATATAGGGGACTTGAACATTTGTGGATTTTGGTGTCCGCAGTGGAGTAGGGGGTCTTAGAACCAATCTCCTGCAGGTACCAAGGGACAACTTAAGTTTTGGGGGAGTCAAAAGTTATACACAAGAGGGCTGGCCAAGTGGCGTGTTGGTTAAGAGCTGGCTTGGGACGCCAGCTCTGAGCAGCAGGGCCCCGGTTCGGATCCCACATGGGGGCCAGTGACACTGCCCTCTACAGCTAAGATGATGAACAATAGCTCGACCTGGAGCTGGGCTGCCATGAGTCACCGGCGACGGTGTAGGCTGCAGCCCCTGCTGCAATGTGCTGCCATAGCTACCGTGTGTGGCCGGCAGCCAGCGTGAGCAGCTGGCAGCCTGAGTGAGTTGCCAAGAGCCGCTCTGAGCAGCTGTCCAGAGGCTGGCGACCGATCTGCCTCATCTGGGAAGAGCGCAATGATAATACCAACATGGGCCAGCGAAGCGACAACTCGACTAAAGAACAGAAGGACAGCAACTTGTCTGTTCCCCTTCCCCTGATTCCCCAGCGCTGTTCCCCTCCCCCAATTCCCCAATAAAATCTTAAAAAAAAAAAAAAGTTATACAGAAGAGAGAGCTCTAAGATTGCAGGGTAGATTCACTGTGCTTGCCTGCTCCAATGAACACATTAAAATTACAACTAAATTATAGGACAATCAACCTGGAGAAGCATCTAAAGTCTAGACAAACAGAAGTTGTATAACTAAAGGTATAAAAAAGAAGCCATGTCAAGACTTGTAGGCAGGGCAGAGACGCGAAACAGGCTGGCCCCAAACCTCCGTGTGGTGGCTGAAAATCAGGAAGGATATCTTGGCCATGGTGGTTCCCCCTGGGGGACTGAGGGACCTCAGCCCCACACCAGGCTTCCCAGCCCAGAATACTGGTGCCGGGAAGAAGAGGCCCCATAATATCTGGCTTTGAAAAACAGTGGGGATTCAATCATCCAGATGGGACAAAAGGCTACAGGAAACCCAGATGTAGTCTTAAAGGGCTGGGACACAGACTCACTCACTCACAGGCACTCACCCTGAGCTCTGGTGAAGGGGCAGTAACTCAGGGGGGCGGGGCATTGGAGGCACATGGGGGGCATACTAAAGTGTGAGGCTTTAGGGCAAGGGCTGGAAGACAGTCGCCATTTTCCCTGTGTGGGGTTTTCCTCCCATGCAACGGGCAGGCAGGTGCCATCTTTCCTGTATTGTACCCTGCCCCACAGGCCAAATCTGAATCTGATTGGTCTGGTGAGCTCCACAGCTCCATCCTGTGACTCTCTAGGACCCCGCCACACCCAATTTCCCCAACGCCAGAGGCACTTTCTCAGTGAGCCCCTAGCCCTGCCCACACTGCACTCTTTCTTGGAAATCTATGGCAGTCTGAGGGCCCAAGCAGGTGGTGACTGGACTCGGTGTGCTCTGAGACTTTTGCTGAGTAGCTTCAGGCTCAGCACTGGCACCAAACCAAAGTTTATATTAACCTGGTGACCATACCTCTTCCTACTCTGGTGACCACCTGATACCCTGCCTCACCCAACTCATACACCACACAAGGTTTTATCAGTGGCTGAATTGTAAGGGAACCAGCAGGTGACAGCAGGTCTCGGAGTGTCCTAGCGTTTTGTGGAGCTACCCCAGGCCTGGTACTGGTGGCAGCCATCCTCAGTTCACAGTGTGGCCTCTCCCACACGCCTCCAGGGTTAGCACAGGCAGCGAACAGCTGTGGGTCACTTTGTAGCTCCTACCAGGTAGTCCCCAGCTGGTCACAGGCAGTGGGTGACCTGGGTCTGCACTGGAACCTCTCCCAAGAGGCTCCAGAACCAACATACTTGGGGAGGTTGGCTTCAGACCACAGCAGAGCACCTCCCAATTAGCCTCACAAGTGGCACACCAAAGGGCAGTCTCAACAGGCACCAGAGCCCACTGGGGCAAAGCCCACTCAGTAGTGTAAGCTCCGCACACAGCAGCCCATAAGCTGTGGATGTGGCCAAACCCCACAGCCAGTCTGCCTGAGGATCAATCACATGCCAATAGCAATCAGGGCTCAAATATAACAGGAGGGCACACACAACCCAAACAAGGGACACTTCTGGAGCACTCGGCTCAGATGAGCAGGGAGACTGTGCCACTGGGCCCCACAGGGCACCTACTACATACGGCCACCTGGAAAGAGACGTAGCAAAGCTACCTAATACATAGAAACAAACAGAGAGGCATCCAAAATGAAGAAACAAAGAAATATGTCCCAAATGAAAGAACAAGAGAAAACTCCAGGAAAAAAACTCAACAAAATGAAGGCAAGCAACCTACCAGATACAGAGTTCAAAAGAATGGTTATTAGAATACTCAAGGAACTTAGTGAGAACCTTAACAAAGAGATAACAAGCATAAAAAAGGACATAGAAATCATAAAAAAGAAACAGTCAGAAGTGAAGAGTACAGTAACTAAAATGAAGAATGCACTAGAAGAAATCACCAGCTGACAAGATGAAGCAGAGAAAATTGACTCAACGATTTGGAAGGCAAGGTAGCAGAAAACACCCAATCGGAACAGAAAAAAGAAAAAAAGAATCCAAAAAATGAGGATAGTTTGAGACCTCGGGGACAGGATCAAGCATAACAACATTTACATCACAGGGGTACCAGAAGAAAAAGAGAGAAAACAAGGGACTAAGAATCTATTTGAAGAAATAGTGACTGAAAACTTTCCTAACCTTGTGAAGGAAATAAGATAACAAGTCCAGAAAGCACAGAGTCCCAAACAAGATGAATCCAAACAGGCCCTCACCAAGACACATTATAATTAAAATGGCAAAGGTTAAAGACAAAGAGAAAATCCTAAAAGCAGCAAGAGAAAGGCAACTAGTAGCTTATAAGGGAACGCCCATAAGATTGTTAGCTGATTTCTCAACAAAAACTTTGCAGGCCAGAAGGGATTGGCACAAAATATTCAACGCATTGAAAAGTGAGGACCTACCACCAAGACTACTCTACCCAGCAAATGTATTTTAAAAACAGATCAATAGGAACTATGACTCGCTGATGTGCTGGGTATAAGGGGTAAGAAAAAGGGTGTCACCAGAATGGGCCCCTGCTTCCAGCCTGAGAGGGGAGGGAGAGACATGGGACGGGGACATTAGCACTCAGGGACAGACATATCAGGTTTGAGTTGTCCAGAGTTCAGGGAAGAGTCCTGGGCTGAGGCTGCATAGGTGGGACGGCGGGCATAAAGATGATATGTAAATCCATGGGAATGGATGAATGACAGCCATCTTATCAACCTTAGTCTGATAAATACTGGACAATCATCCTGAGCGCCTATACCTCAGCTGAAACAGTTACTCCAGCCCAGTATTTCTCAAAATTAAGGGTGCACCCGGCAGGGGCTTGTTTAAACACACCTGGCTACTCCCAAAGACTCTATTCAGAAGGTCTCGGGAGAGGCTGGAAAACATCCACTTCTATTAAAGTGTCCTGAGGGTACAGACCCTGCTGATCTGGGGACCTGACTTTGGATCACTGCTCTACTAGCAACAGTGGACCAGGCCCTCACTCCTGGCTCCACACTTACTGACTGTGGATAAGTCATGAACTCTCCTGAGTTTAACTGAACTCGTGTTTTCACGTTAAAAGGGTGTAAGGATTATCATGGAATGGGGTGCTGTGAGCACGCGATGCCATGATGGATGCTGACTGGCACGCATAATACCATAATAACTACTCAGTGAGTATGAGCCGCACTCCCTTTAAAGCACGCAGAAGGCGTTCAATGCTGGCTGACTGTACATTTTGTTTCTAGTACGGATTGGCAAGGGAAGAGTAGTGTGAAGGCATTCAGGAGAACTCATGCGGAAGGTGTGAGCTGAGCCCCCAAGCAGGGAGCTTCTGGGCTTGGGAAGGGAGGCTTGAGCTCGCCAGGGCAGGGGGCCAGGCCCTGAACCAACCTCCAGTGTGAATGCCTACCTTTCCTCTGGCTTGGTCAACCACACATACTCAATTTCCAGAAAAGTCTCAGTTTCAAGTAATTCTAATTTTTCAGTAAAGATGATGATAAGGTGAATGTGCAGCAAAACTCAACTGTTTCACCTTTGTAAGACTTCTTGTAAAATAAATTCATGTGCCCAAATATTTGAATTTGGGTTGCCTCCAGCCCCATGCCAGACACATTTTCTCTCCTTGACCCATCCTTCACAGATGACACTTCATTGAAATGTGGATGGTCACCCTCCCCAGATAACCTGGCATCTTCACCAGGCCCCATGCAGCGAAGGTGACGGATTTCAGAACAGTGCTAGAGAAGGTCTTCAGGGGAGGAGGCCATGGTGCAGAGACAGGGGTTCATGGGAGAAAGGGCAGAAACGAGGCCACCCAGGCAGCGGCAGCTACACTATGAGAGTCAGTGCCCTTGCCGCTGGGCATGCTGACAGCCAGCACCCCTTACCTGCGACCCATGGGGTAAAGGTGAGAAGAGGCAAAGCACCAGGCCGCTCCAAGCAAGCTGCATCACTTACCTTCTCGTAGGGACAGTACTTGTACATCTTGATGGGGCTCGTGCAGATGAAGACATCAGTACTGCGAGAAGAGGAAGGAGGGTGAGCCACATCCGGGTCATCATCCACCCTCCCTCTCAGAGTCTTAGCCCATCACCTGGCATGGGTAAACCCACTGACCTGCATTGTTCTCCATACCAGAGATGTCTGCCCTGTGCCACTGCCCTGGGCAGCCACACAGGACCCCATTCCCCAGACCAGGCACCCAGCTCAGGGGTGGGCACTGACTTATGGCACTTCTGCATGACCGGACTCAAAAAGTTAGCTGGGCTAATCAGATGCTCAGTATGCGATATGAATGGGAAATACTGAGACAGAAGCACTTAAAACGAGAGAGGCATTAAAAGGATGCAGAGCGGGTTATTGAGGGAGAATTGGAGCCTCATGCTAATGCAAAGTAAAGAAACCCTGAGGACAAGTCTTCAGGTCAAGTGTCCAGCCGAGCCTTCTGGCAGGGAGAGCAGCAAGGAGGAGCCCCGATCCACCCAGCTAAACTCCCTGACACTGGAAGTCCCCTCAGATGGACGTGGCTTTACAGAGGTGCACCCCTTCCCGTCTGTATTTCTGCGCTAAGTCAATGTGGGCACTAACCCGGAAGAGCCTCCCAGGAGCCAGGTTCTCCCCACAGCCCCAAGGGCCCCCAGTCACTCTACAACAGAGCCATCTGGGCCCAAACCTCATAAAGCCAGCATCTGCCCCTGGAACTGACAACTGGCTCATCAAACCAAGCCTGTGAAAGCTAGATTTCCCTGGCTCCTTTTCTTTTCGGCAAATGAGTCCCCTGAGAGTCATACGTAAGAATGCCACGTTGCCTGGGCAGGAAGCATGAGCCTTCTAGTTACCCCGAGTCTCCGCTCCCTCAGCACTGCCTCTCACAACTTGGCTGTCCCCTCCCCACTGCCGGGTCAATCCCCTGGGTATGAAGTCTCTCCTTCTCATTCCTCACTTCCTGCCTGTGCTGAAACCTGGCCTCACATGGAAGTCACCTTTCCCGTGTGCCTCCGAGTGAAAGCTGTTTTACGTGCTTCAGAGATGAGGTGAGGAGTCTTCCTTGGTCTCCACTGCCACTCCCAGACTATTTCTCCTTCCAAATCCCTGACTTTGTGAAGCCTGTGCCTCCAGCCATATCCCTGCAACCCTTCCCTGCTGCTGTCACCTACCACCTGCCCTGTTGCTGCCCTTGGTGCCTCCACCACAACACAGGCTCACTGGTGTCCCTCCGTCCCCACTCCTCTCACCATCCTCACGACCATAACATGGACACAAACACTGCACACACGTGTGGACCCAACCCCTGGGCCTCTCAGGTCCCAACCCTGTCACCTCCAAAAGCCTCCTCCACTCTGTCTTCAATACCTCTACCCACCACACCCTGAGCTTATCATCACTTCTGCCAAAGTCTCAATTTCATGTTTTGCCTCCGACCACCAACTACCATCCTTCCACTAAACTCATTCTAACATCTCCCACTCAACCCTTCAACCTCATCAGGACAGACAGCCCACTGCAGCCCTCAACCGGCTGCCCTGCCTAGTCTCCCAGCCTCTGGGGGTTCTGACCCTCTGTGGTACCCCGTCTATACTCCCTGCTCGATGACATCACCAAGGTCTAGGGCTTTAAATACTGGCCATAGGCTGGTGCACTACTCTACCTTCATGATCCAACTGTGTCCTGTGTAAGAAAAACCACCCAGCTTTTCCCTCATGTCTTTCTATGCTGTGTGTCTCCTGCACTCTCACACTATTACCGCTCACAACACTTCTGACCCCATATATGCACGGGTTTCCCCACACCAAGCGATGCTCTGAGACACCAGCTGGCTGTCCTATACTGACTCAATTCTGACACTGTCCATCTGGAGATGGTGTCGGATCCCACAGGCTAAGGGCTCAGCTCACCCCCTTGAGACACCCATTGGAAGTCCAGGTTGTCACCTGTGCTTCTGACCAACTGGCTATAGATTGAAGGTTCCCATGACCCCCCTCCTTGGGTTCAATTAATTTGCTAGAGAGGCTCAGAGAACTCAGGGAAAAACTTTATGTACTGTTACCGGATTATTATAAAGGCTGTGATAAAGGACACAGATGGAAGAGAGGGAAAATGGCCGCGGTAAGGAAGTCACTGAATTAGC